AAATAAAAAACTTTTATAGCTGTATAATTAAAGTACCAAATTATGTCAAGATCAGGAGAAACGATTTTTCACTTTTTTTTAAAGCAAATTTTGAATTAAGTTCTTGTACAAGAGGAATATGATTTATTCTAGATTTGCTTTTTGCGTCTTTATGTATAAGAAGGTGACGAATAACCTTCTGGACGCGCTGAAAATCTTCCCAGTGGATCACCCTGTGCAAGGTTTAATTACCTGTGGCAAAATTTGTGATAAGTTAAAACATCAAAAGCTTGGTCAACCGAGACACTGCGGCGGAAGGAATCTTTTTTATCTCGGAAGTTTTTATAAAAATCTTAATACTGGTGGTGCCGTTTTGTCCAACAATTCCTTTTTTAAATAAATTATTTTCAACAACTGAATGTAAAAAATGAATTATATTATAAAAATGTGGACAAATAAACAATAATATTAATAATTTTTGAATTATTAAGGCTATTTTTTACACATTACCTCATATTATGAAATTTTTTATGATCATGCTGGTCGAATTCAAGATAAATATTTCTTTATTTTTAATATTTTGCTAAAAGTTATTAAAAAGAAACGTAAAATGAAATGATTGATGGTGGTAAGATAAGAATATTTTCCAGAACACACTGGGGCAAAATCTGCGCATTCGATCTCGAGAAATAACTCAATTTGCTGCAAGGCCACTCGTCGGGACACAATGGGCACCTTTTGAACAAACTTTCCTCGAGTTAGCAACAGCTGCGGCACAGAGAGCATAATGGGAATTTGAAAACACGCGAATTCCCAATCAAATGATAAGAGCGGCTCTCGACGGTCCGACAAGTCGCCCTCGCCTCCAGAGAAACTCTCACTACTTTTCAAAGGCAACACACAAAAACTGACCCTTTGTGCCGGCTAATCGAGTTTCGGTGCTATGTGTGCCCTCCGATGACACGACCGCAATTTTTCCATGATTTTCCCGACCGCGTGCCTCTCACTCCAGCGTTTTAATTAAATTCCCGATGCCGACACCGAACTCAACCATTATTTTTATTTTTATGGGCCGCTCGTCCTGCGTGCTTTTAATAAAACGACACTTTGATAGGGCAAAAATATTGCGTGTCATGCGTTTTTTGCGAGTGCGCAATATTTTGCACAAGTACAGCTGAAGCTGAAAGTCGACGGTTTAAGTGTTTGGAAGCTGGAGAGAGAAACAGTGGTGCACACACTGATGATGATGACTTTGCTCGATCGTCAAGAGCTTCTTTCTAAATTGGTACATAATTACTTTCAAGGGAGGCGACAGACGTTCGTGGAATAATTAAAAGAAATCCTCAGAACTTCCAATACAGATCAATAATTAACATTTTTGCAACAAATTGTCAGATTTGTATTTAAATTTTGAGATTTTTCTTCAATCGTCTGTCCTCTGGTTAGTGATCACCAATATACATGTAACTTGAAAATTGGGCCATAGCTTTAGATTTCACTTTCTAACGTCGCAAAAAGCATCTTCGCGAAGACGCAAACAAACACACCTCAGAGATATAAAGAAGCTATTTAAAATTAGCGACGAGTGGCTGTAAAAGAAAAATAAAAGTAGGCCGCTGCGAAAGGCCGTTTGGCTACTCACTTTGGGTGCGATTCGCTGGCTATTCTTGCGAGCAGGCCGGGGTCGGAGCGGGAGAGCGACTCACGTGGTCCGTGCGGACACAAGAACACACACAGCGAGACTGCGCTGGCTCCACTGCCGAGAACTCGACAAGGGACCGCACCCTCCCCGACCGCCGTCGGCGGCGCCTGCGCCACACCCCGATGGCCCGAGGCGCCGAAATTTCCACTTTCTGACTGACAGTGGCAGCCGCTTTTTGATTTGCACCGCGGAAAATATGCGACTGAAAAGAGCGAGAGTTGGCGAAATGAGCAGATTTTTCTCTGATATATATTCCACACGCTGTGTCTTTGTGAGCTGCGGAATGAACGCGGAAAAAGCCACCCTCGCGAATGATGAGTGAAAAGAGCTTTTATCTCAACACCGCACAGTCGCAGCGTTTGGGTGCATTGGCTGCACCACTCAAGGGCATTTCAAAAGCACCGTCTTTGCAGGTTGTAATTAATAATGGAGCACAGGTGCGCCTGAAACGAACACAACGTTGTGCGCCAATAATTTGATTTTATCATGAATGCATTATTATTTTGACTAACAACAATGGGAAGTTTGAACTGTTTAAAAAATATTTGAAACTAGTTTAGGTTAATTCATTAATTTTTACGATAAAAAAATAATAAATTTTTTTATAGCTTTTGACTTGATCGATTATTTTAATTTATCACAAAAGCGTAAATTTATTTCAGCTTACTATATTAATCTAATCTTTTAAGGAATTCATGATGGATTGTGACGAGAGTTCTTAAAAATCAATGAATAACAAAACAACATTATTCGAATTGTAGTTTCAATTTGCAAACTTGAGATTTGAAAACTTAAGATTGCTAATTTTGAATAGGAAAATTAGGGATTAAAATTGAAATATAAGATAGTTTATCAAAAATACTTCAATTTTGATTTTGCGTAGTGAAATATTTAAATAGAAGCCAATATTTAAAATAATATCATCAAATTTTGTTTCAAAATACCATTGTAGAGCAATTAATTTAAAACGTTTTTAAGTGAAGTATCTAAAAATAAAATTGAAAATCTCAGCCTATAAGAGAGAGTAGTTTTTTCTTCTCAATGGCACTCCATCAGGGTGGAAAAACATTCTTAAGGGCTAGTTGTCGCACGTTAACAGCTAGGAAAAGTGCTGACTGGGTTGTCCTTAGCAAACAGCACCCTTCCGCGCCAATTACCTGCTCCACTCCTCACACCTCCGGCAAAATTGAGAAACCGGCCAGTTTCAGCTCTGCACTTTTACTTTGCCTGATCGTTTGCTTTTGGAAAAATTTTTGGCTGCCAATGCGGTGCATATAGGGAATATGATATAAAAATTCCGCTCGCAGATGACACAGCCGATTTTCGTTAATGCGTGGTGACGAGCGAACGAGAGAGGGTCCAGCGCGCGCGTCCGAATTTATTCCATCAGCATTAATTTGTCGAAGCGCGTGTTTACTTTTGGGCCGGGCGGGCTCGCCTCTGCGCGCAGAAATTCATAAAGAGAATTATTGAAGAGCCTGTCAAAAGCATCAGGCAAATGGATGATTTGCGAATTCGGCGCCGCCGTCGCTGCCTCGTCAAAACATGTGCTTTTTAATGGGACCAGAAATAGAGAGAGTGCCGAGAACGCGCGTGTCAGAATCGAATTACCAATTTGCATCGGTGAAATGTGGCACGCATATACACGCGCAGGCTTTCAATCGCACTCTCATTAGCATGCGATGCATGATCTGACTTCAACTAGTCCTCTTTTTATCAAGCAAATTGTACAACGTTCTGCGAAATCAATGTTGTTGTTTTATAATAAAATGTTGCAAATTTGATAATATCACTGTTGAGGGAAATATTTTTGAATACCTCAGGTTAATTTTTTCAAACAATATATATTTTAAATGTTAAAATATCACAGATAAGACAGATAAGTATAACTATTTATGTATTTAATAAATAAAGTTGCCAAAGCAAGTATAACTTAATAGTTTAATCTTGTTTAAAAAAAAGTGCAACAATGTATAAAATTTCAAAAAATTTTAGCTGGAAATTTGAAGAAGAAACTGACAATTCATGAAATTAAATGTTATTGCTTCTTTCTACAACTGTAACAAAATATTATCTAAAGCAATAAACAGGCTCCAATTAAATTTGCACCCCAAACTTTTCATCCACTCTCCCACCAAAAATTCACACATCTGCATATTTATTTTTTATCCCCCCAAACCAGCCGCAAACCAAACAATAATCCACAAAAGATCAGACCGAGATGCAGCACAACTTTTCCACTTTAATGTTCGACTGGTGGCCTAACCAATTCTAACTACAGCGCAGAAATCTCCCCCGCGTGCGACAAAGAGGGGGTGCATCGCAATTCGCTGAATGCATAAGTTAAATATGCTAATCAGCACACACTCGCGCGCGTGCACTTGACAAACGGCGTCGGCCGCTAAAGTAAAAATGCCGTCGAGGATTTGTGCACCTTTCGCTGCACTTTTGCAAGAGCGGCCACGGCTGATTTAATCTAAAGTTTCGCCACAGACAGAAAAGAGCAGGTGATTTAGCTCTGCGCACGTTTAACATGGGAATAAACAAACAGGGCGGTCGCGCATTACGCTTTTATGAGATGCACTGCAATTTCCTCTTTCCTCTCTAACAGAGAGAGTATTTTGCGGTGCGCGAATGGCAAAATATTGGTGTTGCTTTGAACACGCAGTGGAGTTGCCGCTCCATAATAAACAAGATCCAAACTGACTACGGCCGGCGTTTAATTGTAAAAACAATAGCAAATAATTCATTTGTAATTAAAACTTTTCCAACGGAGGAAAAGCAACAACCGTTTCAACAAATATAAAACTAGAAGCTGTGATTAAACAAAATGCGCTTTTTATTTAATTAACAGGAGTAAAATCAAACGTTTATCACGATCTTGAAAAAAAATCAATTATAAAGATAACAAATTCTTGAATTGTGAATGATGCCAATTCCAATTTGATTATTTATTTAAAATTCATTTCTCAGATATCAATTATTCATTAAAAAAATGGCCTCGGATATAATTCAAAAGAAATTACTAAAAATCAATCAAATAATTTAAATTGCACAATTATCTTTAATAGTCTCAAATAACTAACTCATGGTGCTGCCCTGCGATTCGAAACAATCTGAGCACCCTACAAACGCCCCTCTGGATATACAAAACTTTGTAAATTAACCGCCCTGCAAAACTCATGTCTCAGGTCACGAGAACGCCGGAGTTCAAAATAACACCAATTGAAAATTTTAATTTTAAAAACATTGAGAAGGAAAAGTGCACTTGAAAAAAATTAAAAATTTCCTTTTTAAATATACTGGGAGGATAACTCACCTGCAAGTTTTTTGATGACATCCAATATCCAATCCATCTAGTTGTCGCTTCAAAGATGTTGAACAAGCCGGCATCTTTCATGAAGCCAAAGGACACACTTTAAGCGTGCTAAAATCAGAAATGAACATCTAATAATTTTGGAATAAAACTGATTTGCACTTTTCATTTCGTGATTTTTCAAAAGAGCGGTAGCCGGTAAAACAAAAGTCTGAGGAAATCGCAAAACATAAGTTTCAAACGTTAACGCACTTGATTTGTGTGCGGGGGCGCCATTCAAACTTTACCTGAGGATCAGGGTAAGGTCAAAGCTCGAAATCCATGCGGTTTACAGGTCAGACGAACCCTAAGAAGCCTTTATTTTGACGAGAAAAGCCAAAAAACACGAATCTAATTGTAAGCAGCACCGGTGCCGCCAAAATGCACTGTCACATGTCACTGTGACGTCATTGCAGCTGCGACCCAGAGCGAGAGGGGGCGGCGGAGGCGGGGAGGCTCGCACAACAGGTGGGGAAACGAAAAAAGTATGATATTAAAAATAATCATTGCAAGTGTAAAGACAAAAAATAGTTCTTTCCCGTGGGAATTTCTAAGAAAAAAAACAATTATTTTATTTTAAGTAATTGTACAAAATAAAATTACCACAGGTTGATTTTTTGTATTGACTGAGAAGAAATAATAATGATTTGGGCTTATTTATAAACCTACGAAAATTATAAAAGTAATGTTAGTTCTAATCTAACAAATAATTTTTATTTTAGTTTACAATTTGCCCTATTATGACCAGGAAAATAAAGAAAAAAATATTAATTGTAAAAATTTTAATAGTAATTGGTATGGTCTATACTTGTATAATTTAATATATGCAAATGCAAGTCTCTGGACTGCTTATAGATGCTTATCGCAAACCCAGATTGTAGGTGGAGCAGAGAGAGCAAAGCTAATATCAATTCTGGTCAGCATGTGCATATCAAGTTATGATTACGTTTCGCCCAGTGCAAGCCGATTGTGACACATGACAATGATAATTGCAACGACCGAGAGACAGTGCAGAGATTGCAGCACGGTCACGTATCAATTGAGAGGCGCTTTAATTGTTGGCTCACAACGTTGTGGTAATGATATTATAATTTATGTATGATTTATATAATGCTCACGTGCTGGCTCTCTAGTGAAACTTTATGAAGCGTGCGGGCTGCTGTTTGTTGAGAGCATAATGTCTGCGGCCCGGCGTGCAGCAACGGCGGGAAATTCGCGAATTGGCAGCCAGTCTGGCGTGAACAAGCGCCGTTATTATTATTGTACATGCATCCATTTGAGACTGAGAACAGAGAGCAAAGGCGCGCGGCGCAGACAAGCGGATTAGTCTGATTATTTGCACATGCATCCCCCTCGTAAATTCTCTCCTTCATATATTTACATCATGTTTGTTGCACGCCTATATGTGATGCAGTTTCTTTGTGGCGTTTGTTTTTTAAATCAGATAATTCAAAATACTTTTTTAAAACAACAATTATATTATTCTTGTAACTTGAATTATTGCAGGAACCATAGAAGAGTAAAAAATAAATTATTTGAAATACCTTGCGTGAAAATCTATAAAAATTCATTATTCAAGAAAATCAATTTATCTGGTCTAAATTATTGGCACAGTCGCTACTTTTGCTACTAAAATTTAGATATATAATCTTTTTTTTAAAGAAAAAAATTAAATTAAATTATATGCCTGCAAAGTAGATAAAATCAATTATAGTAAAAAATACACAAATACAAATACATTTGTCCTATTTTCATAAAATCTATATTCTGCTCAATTAATAAATTGTGTGTACAAAAACATTTTCATTAAATTTATTTGATTTTCACGCTCACAACACAGCTGCCGCATGAATGCCATTGCGTGAAACTGAATTTGCGCTTTCCACCATTGTTTGGCAAATACAAAAACGACGGGGACAGGCGCCTGGACCAAAAAATAAAAGTGAGCAGCAGTCCGGGTGAGTTATGATGAAAATGTCACGCCGCGGCCGGCCATTGTCAACGCCGTCCTGTGAAAAAATCAACGCAAATTGAGCTGCTTATCCGCCTCATGCGCAAAATGAAATAATAACTTTTAAATAGCTGCACCAACATACAAGAGCAGCACATTAAACACGGAAAATTCACAGCAGCAGCAGCAACCAGAACTCTCTCAGTCCCGTAATGTACATATGTACAATAGAAATGATTCATGCCCTAGTTGGTTTCATTAAAACACACACTGGAGCACTTTATCATGCATGCATTTTGTTGCTGCGCTATAACGTATATAGCCGCGATGTTGAGTTGCGCGCTGATAATTAAAAGCGCGGCCCAGCGTTTTGCTACTGGAGTACTCGTTGCGGATGAAAAATTCATTATCAACGGCAAATAGATTGAAAATCTCATGCAGAGCGCAGTTGGAAGTGAACAAACAACTATCAAATTATGTTACAATAAAATTGCAATTTTGTTGTAAAATTCATGTTTGTTTCATTTGCACTCTTCATATTTGCTCTACTTTTCAAAACTGCATGACAACATATTATATGCAAATTGTGTATAATGAAATTTTGTTTTGTTAATCAGAGAAAAATTTAATAATTTTCAATAAAAAAAGATAAAGAGGTAATTAAAATAAATTTTTGTTAAATGGCCAAAATATATTAAATTCATTATAACCATTTATGCAAATTGATACATTTTCAGTCAAATTTAATTGAATTAATAATCATAAATATATTTATTTTATGAAAATTCAATAAATATTTTTAAGAAATTTAATATAATAATAAGCTTTGATCTTTAAACCCTCCTTATTGCAAATGTCAGTTTCGCTCGCACGGTACGTACCTTTTCATTTGGCGTCAAAGTCACAAATGGCATAATATCCTCTTTGCTCTTTGAGTTATTGCCTGCTGAGGGTGCCGAAATTTCTGAGTAATTTACTCTCCCACCTTGTTGATTTATTCGCGTCAAAAGGATCAGCGGCATCAAGGGTCGGCGATGCGTTCAAGATATGAGATTGTTTCCGTTGGAAAATTGCTGGACGAAAACATTTCATATTGGATCCCTCGCGAGACGACGCTGCCGATTTTTTTATTATTAAACTCGTATTGCAGCAGTGTCACAAAACAGAAATGGAAGCGGCGACGATCTTATTGTCTGCGACTTGCTGGGAGATGAAAGTGCCTCTAGTTTGTTCTGTCGTTGCTGCTGCTATTTCCTTTCTGAGAGAAGCGACGCAGCAAAAAAGTGGTATGTGTGCACAAAAGAAATCAAACTATGTTTATGAGGGAGTTATGGTAGAGCATTTGAGAGTTGCTCTCTGGCAGTGACGATTCTTGGAAATTAAAAGTACCAAAGGGAAAATGTTTGTATGAATAAGACAATTTTAAGATTTACTTTTCCTTAAATTTCCCTTTCTGTGACAAGGAAAAAGTAACAAAATTATAGCAAATCAATTTTGTTGAGTTTTTTCTAAATAAATTTCTTGTAACTGAGATTAAGCAATGATTACTGTTGGTAACGAAAAATTTTCCAAGTCTGGACTGTGCATCAATTACGAGATTAAAGGATTTAATATCAAAATATTTTCACGCTCGATTTGCCGCACAAGGCCTTTTTGCTCTCCAGTCGGAACCCACTTCACCATCTTTCCACCCGTGAAACGAACGCGCACTCCACCCAAAAACTGCCCTCGGAGGATTCGCAGCCGCCGCCTTTTAATAGAAATAATAAAACGCCGCTGCTCAGAACTGACCGTGGGCATCTCATCTATGGCCCCGCATTTATTTTCCCGACTTTGAGCAGCGCGCCGTGTTTTTGCACTTTTGTAATAAAAAAAAGAGAGCCAACGGACGAGAGTATCTTATTTTCATTTCGCGAAATCTTTTCCGAGCGGCTGCATTACCGGCATGTTTGTTATTGTACGGGGGCGCTTTTCCACCCCGAAGATGACGCCGGAATGTCTTTGAACTCGGCCTGCCCCTCGACCTTCCTCTTGCCCCCCTGTGGAATATAACATTTTTTCCGCAATATTTTTTCGTTACTTTGAGATAAAGAAGTTATTCAAGGGGGATTTCCGATTGTTTACACTAAGGAGAATGAGGAAAAGCAGGGTGAGCTCTGAAGCTCACATTATTTCTTTTCATCATTATGTTCAAAATTAATTATTCAGGACATTTACATTTGGCGAATCTATAGGGAATATGTAACGTAAAAATGTGGAACTTGAGGCATATAAAAAGCACTTTAAAAGAAGAAAAAATATGCCCTTGTTATTTTTTAATTGAGTATAAATTTAATTTAATATGCAGAGAGTCGAATCTGTTTCGTTGACGATATTTGCCAAATTTAAAGAGTTTTTGGTCAAAATAGATTATAGATTATCCGTAGTCATTAATTATTGTGTTCAAAAGCTTACATTTAAACAAATATAAATTTCTATTTTTTAATGCTAATTTGCAATGCTTGCCGAAATATTTTCAAACATTTTTGTCAAAATACTTCGTTGATTTATATATTGAACTTAAGTAATTTCAATTTTATTTTCATAGATAAAGCAGACTATTATAATTTTCAAACAGAGGCAACTGTTTCAATGCCAGAAGTTTAATTTTAATGATTTGCAGTCAAACTTTTTTTCGCGTTCAAAATGTACAAAAAAGTGAATCTAGCAAATACAACTTCAAGTTCTATAGCGTTTCTTTTAAAAATTATTGTGTTTGATTCACTTTTTTTACCAACAAACTTTTTGACCAATAAAAATGTGAAGCGTCCAACACTTCTTCAATTTCAAGAGCCTTAATTTTTTTACAGACATAAATAGCTGAAATGTTCCACATTCAGATTCACGATTAGTATATAGAGCGGCTGCTTTTCAAACTGTAAACCCTTTCGAAGCAATTCAGTGGAGCAGCCCTCCAACAAACTGTCTTTGACCGCACGAGAGCGATTATTAAAGAGACTCGGCGTGTGTTTCTCGCGCATCAAAGGCCGTCAGAATTGAATCGCGCTCAAGTGCAGCTCACATGAATTAATTTGAGGGCATGCAGCGGACGCGAGATAGAGAGAGCGAAGAGCCGCGTTGA